TAGCACCTAGCTCCTCTTCATGGAACTATTACATACAGGCAAATATATGTTATGGGGCCTTGACAGTCTCTGATTACAAACAAATGCTATGTATGTATATTTTAAATTCTGCAGTGTTACTATGTTGGACTGATAGAGTCAGGAGACTTGTTCCATATTACACTCTCAGAACTAGGATTTTTACAGCCTCTTTCAGAGGCAGCGTGGGCAGTAATTGCTTATTCCTGGGTCTGGGATCTCCCACAACTGCATCCAGCTCTGAACTGAGATGTGCAAGCCATCCAGTTAGTAGGGTGAGCAAGCCACATGGTACTGAGCGCCCAGCCAAGGATAGTTTCAGAAAGCCAGGCATTGCCGTGCGTTAGCACCTACTGGAGTACAAAGCCATCCTTCCTTCACTCGAGAACTATTGAGGCTGCCTTATTCTTGTTTGTTTTTTTTTAAAGATGTATACTAATTTATTTTCACATGAGCATGGGTAGAAATTAGTTGTTTTTGAAGGAAAAAAATGCAGAAATAGATAATCATATATATATATGTACATATATATATAGTTTTTCAGCTTATTTTCCCTTATAGGTTGTTATGAAATATTGAGTATAGTTCCCTGTGCTCTACAGTAGTCCTTGTTGGTTATCTCTTTTATACAGAGTAGTGTGTTGTGTTCATCTCAAACTCCTAATTTATCCTCCCCCTTCCCCTTTGGTAACCATGTTTGTTTTCTATGTCTGTGGGGCTATTTCTGCTTTGAATATAAGTTCATTTGTATCATTTTTTTTAGATTCTACATATAAGCGATATCATATGATATTTGTCTTCCTCTGTCTGGCCTACTTCACTTAGTAAGATAATTGCTAGGTCCATCCATGTTGTTGCAGATGACATTATTTCATTCTTTTTATGGCTCAGTAATATTCCATTGTGTAACTATTCCACTTCTTTATCCACTCATCTGTCAATGGAAATTTAGGTTGCTTCCAGGTCTTGGCTATTGGAAGTAGTGTTATAGTGAACATTGAGATCAAACATAGCTTTTCAAATTGTGGTTTTCTCTGAATACATGCCTAGGAGTAGGATTGCAGGATCATATGGTACCTCTATTTTTAGATTTTAAAGAAATTTCTATACTGCTTTTCTGGAGAAGGTAATAATAATAATTCCTGCTGGCTCAGACAGTAAAGAATCTGCCTGCAATGCCTGAGACCCAGGTTCTATCCCTGGGTTGGGGAGATCCCTGGAAAAGGGAATGGCTACCCACTCCAATATTCTTGCTTAGAGAATCCCATGGACAGAGGAGCCTGGCAAGGTGCAGTCCAATGATCACACAGAGTCGGACACAACTGAAGCAACTTAGCACGCACACACACATATTCCTCTCCATGGTTGCTGTACCAACTGACTTTCCCACCAACAGTGTAAAAAGGTACCTGTCTCTCCATACCCTTTCTGACATTTATTATTTGTAGACTTTTTGATGATAGCCATTCTGACTGGTATAAAATGATACTTCATTGAAGCTGTGATTTGCATTTCTCTAATAATTAGTGATGTTGAGCATCTTTTCATGTGCCTTTTGGCCATTTGTATGCCTTCTTTGGAGAAACATCTATTTAGATCTTTTGCCCCCGCCCCCACCTTTTTTTTTTTTTTTTGAGCTCTATGCACTCTTTGTATATTTTGGTCATTAATTCTTGTTGGTTGCATCATTTGCCAATATTTTCTCCCATTCTGTAGGTTGTATTTTTGTTCTGTTTATGGTTTCCTTTGCTGTGCAAAAGCTTTTAGTTTGATCAGGTCCCATTTGATTATTTTTATTTTCATTAATTACTGTAGGAGACAGATCCAAAAAGATATTGCTTTGATGTATGTCAAAGAGTATTCCACCTCTGTTTTCCTCAAGGATTTTTATAGCATCTGTTTTTACGTTTAGGTCTTTAATCCATTTTGAGTTTGTTTTTTGTGTATGATGTTAGAGTGTTCTAATTTCATTTATTTGCATGTAATTGTTCAGTTTTCCCAGCACCATTTATTGAAGAGACTCTTTTCTCCATTGTATATTTTTTTAATTTATTTTAATTGAAGGCTAATTACTTTACAATATGGTAGTGGCTTTTGCCATATATTCACATGAATCAGCCATGGGTGTACATGTGTCCCCCATCCTGAACGCCCCTCCCCGCTCCCTCCCCATCCCATCCCTCAGGGTTGTCCAGGTGACCAGCCCTGAGCACCCTATGTCATGCTTTGAACCTGGACCGGCGATCTATTTCACATATGGCAATACACATGTTTCAGTGCTATTCTCTCAAATCATCCCACCCTTGCTTTCTCCCACAGAGTCCAAAAGTCTGTTCTTTATATCTGTGTCTCTTTTGCTGTCTCTCATATAGGGTCATTGTTACCATCTTTCTAAATTCCATGAAGTGAAGTGAAGTGAAGTCGCTCAGTCGTGTCTGACTCTTTGCGACCCCATGGACTGCAGCCTACCAGGCTCCTCTGTCCATGGGATTTTCCAGGCAGGGATACTGGAGTGGGTTGCTATTTCCTTCTCCATATATATGCGTTAATATATTGTATTGGTGTTTTTCTTTCTGACTTACTTCACTCTGTATAATAGGCTCCAGTTTCAGCCACCTCATTAGAACCGATTCAAATGCATTCTTTTTAAAAGCTGAGTAATATTCCATTGTGTATATGTACCACAGCTTTCTTATCCACTTGTCTGCCGATGGACATCTAGGTTGCTTCCATGTCCTGGCTATTATAAACAGTGCTGCGATGAACATTGGGGTGCACGTGTCTCTTTCAGATCTGGTTTCCTCGGTGTGTATGCCCAGCAGTGGGATTGCTGGGTCATATGGCAGTTCTGTTTCCAGTTTTTTAAGGAATCTCCACACTGTTCTCCATAGCGGCTGTACTAGTTTACATTCCCACCGACAGTGTAAGAGGGTTCCCTTTTCTCCACACCCTCTCCAGAGGCTGCCTTATTCTTAAGTGCAAGTCCAAACTGACACTCAAGGCCCTCCCCAGCGCTCTTCCGTTCGCTTCTTAGCACTTTTCCTCTGTCCCTTCCAGCAAAACTGAACTGTTTATTATCTTCTGATCTTCCTAGCTGCTTTGCTTTCCCATTTCTGTTCCAGCTGTTCGTTGAGCCTGAGGCCCCAACTCCATCCACCGCCCCCACCCTCGCCCTGCTCTCGTTTCTTTCCTTACTATTCTTATCCCATCTCTGTTTTTTTCATACCCCAGCCATCCACTGGGGACTATTTGAGTCACGTCATTTTCAGCTTCTGTTCCTTTCAACAGAATGGGTTCTCTCCCTTTTGACCTTCCCGGCGCTTTTCTTGTGCGTCCGTCGTCTGCTGCGTTACGGTCCACCTGGCACTGTTACTTTGCTGGGTACAGTTCTTAGTAGCTCCCTTGCCCCTCCCCCAGGCGCTGACCTCTCTGACAGTGGGACTTTTGTCCTAGACACTTCTATATGTCACCCAGTACTTAAGTGCCTTACTGAGTAAATATATTCGATTGTTGTGAAAGAGGCAACATAGAGAAGACAACATAGAGAAAACTCTCGAGTTTTCGTTACACAAATCTCACCCTTGATGATCCTGCCATAATGTGGTACAGGCATTCCCAGTTTGTATTCTACTGGTTCTTTTTTGAAAAAAGAAGCAAAGATTCTGAGGTCAAGTAAATTTGGGAAACTTGCCTACCATACTTCCTTCTGAGGACCTGCAGTCCATAGAACATGTGACCAGTAGAGGAGCCTGTTTTAACTTGATTAAATGCACATCTGCCAGTTTGGCCTCAGAACTGTGCTTTCTACTCTGTGTATGTACTCATGTCTTACACAGCAGTTCTGTGGGCAACTCTTGGTGGTGTAGACTGTGCTGTGCTCTCTACAGGGGACTGGGACAAAGGACTCCTCAGTATGAGGACCAGACACCTTGGTTCTGAACAGAGAGCAAGGAGTCCATCCAGATACCCGTCTTGTACCTGGCTGGGTTTAGGCACTTCCTCTGCCAGCTGCTGATGGCTTGTGGAAAGAGGCTGATTCTTCATGAGAATATAAGAACAGACTTGAAATCATGTTAAATGAGTCTTAGGTGAGGCGCCTGGCTTTTTTAAAAGGCGCTTTTCAAGAATATTATTCTCTACATGAAAGACAGAAAGGATCTCTGTAACCAAATGAAAGAGATTCTGAAGGTCTCTTCAGAGGAGCATCTTTTTCAGAAGGATGTGTGGTCCGTGGAGTGGCTGGCCTGCTACCTTCGCCCAGGCTCCCATGTGCTCACCGCTGAGCAGCTGTTTCAGAAAGAAGCATGGGCTGCAGGTGTTCGGGAAATCATAGGATCCCAGAGCAGCTCACAACCATCCCGCAGACTGGACCTTTTGTTGTTGTTGCCTTTTCCACTTAAAGCTCTATAACTAGACAAGCAAGTGGAGGAGTTGTCGCCATGTTATAGCTCTTCTGCTCACTCAGCACCTGTCCTCTGTCCCTTTGGATGGCACTGGTCATCTCCATGGGCAGCCTCATATCCTGAAGACTAGTTGGAAGGCCTCAGCACTGAGGGCAGCTGTCCAAGGAGTGAAGGGCCTGTCAGCCAACATTTCTTCCCCTTGTCCATCAGGACTCGGGTTGGGGTGGGGGACAGAAACTGGAATGCAGGTTTGTCCATCAACCAGTGTTTCCTACAAACATAATCTGTAATCGTAGTATTTGGGGACTTTTTATGATGCAGAGACTTAATACGCAAGCACGGGTTGGAGAGATTGGTTTTATAATCTTGAACAAGGTCTCTCCTGAGGGACGTCCCTGGTGGTTCAGTGGTTAAGAATCTGGCTTACAATGCAGGGGGCTCGGGCTCGGTCCCTAGTCAGGGAACTAAGATCCCATAGGCCATGGAGCAACTAAGCCCACATGCCACAACTGAGACCCGATGTAGTCAAAGAAAAAACCAGATCTCTCCTGACTGTGTGCTCTTCTGGTCTGTCCGCAGTTCCTCAGCACGTTGTTTGCCCCCTTAAACTTTGTCATGGAAAAAGTGGAGAGCATCCTGCCTTCCAGCCTGTGGCACCAGCTGACTCGGATCTAGGGGAGCCCACCCGTCCTCCCTGTCGCCGCGCCCAGCAGGCGCCACCGTCTCCTTGTGCCAACTCCTCGCGGACCGCAAGAAAGCATGACTTTGAAAAAGGGAAGCCATTCCAGGATTTTAAAACCTTCATGAACTGTCTGTTCCATATTAAAAGCTGTTTTTGTTGTACAAAATTCACTGATGTTCAGTTCTATTATATTTTGCCTTCAGAAAAGAAAAAAAGTCAAAAATAAACTTTTGTGTATTGCAGCAACCAGTTGTGTCTCCCAACCCTAAAATCGTTGGTATCCAAATAAACCTATAGGTTACATTTAATTTACTAAGGCCCCCAAATCTGCTGAATGCCACACGATGGTATTCTGAGCTGAGGGGCTCATTTCAGCAGGCCATTGGCACTCTTTGGCTTGGAAAATACACTGTCTTTGGCTAAAAAGCACCATGTTTTCAGCTCCAAACTGTGTGCCCTCATAGGCCAAATATGCAAAGAAACTTCCAGCATGAATGACAGGAAGCATGAATGAAAAGTATGTGCCATGACAGGTAGTTCTGGTTCACAGACTCCACTCACAGAGTAGAGCTCAGCACTGTGGTTCAAGGAATCATTTTGGTTCAGCTTTCTGAAATTTGTTGTGAGAAGAAAACTTCTGATGAGAAGATGCTAACCCGATAGTCTATTGTAGAACCTGCCCACTTTTCAACATTGCCATTTAAAAAATATTTTCTCATAAGGGTAATTTCTGTTTTTATCATCTTTGCATTCTTGATGCGTGCATGTGAGCGTTCTTTGAGTGTTTTCGTGATCTGAACCAAAGTGGTCGTTTGTCTTCACCATCTTTGAAAGCCTTCTCCATGAGTCACACCTGCCGAGCATGCATCTGGCTTTACTTAAGCAAAAGAGAAAAATAAATAACCTTGACTCCTCTTCTGAAGTGAAAAGTACCTCTATTCAGAATCTCAATCTAGTGCTTTATAAAAAGGACTGTCCTTTACATGGTTTGTTTTCCCTTTTGTTTAGAATCCTGAATCTTTCCCCATGAGCGTTACAGTAGGCAGAGTTGGGGAAAGCACCACACCACAGCCCCCTTGGCATTTGGACTTCCTGCAGCCTCCTGGTCTTCATCCAAGAGCAGAGTCAAGAGGCAGGTAATGTTTAGGTGCACAGGCCTTTTCATGCTTCGGGCAAGCTTTTTTCTCTACCTCCTTTGTGCAAAGCCACGGCAGGCATATGCAGTTGGCTCTTGCCCTATCTTGGAAGAAACTAAACCCTATATCCACATCAGTAGTGCTGCTCTTGGGGGCAGGGTTGTGTCTGCTTTGTTCGCCTCTTTGCCTCTTCTTCCACCGGCACAACTCTTGACCTGGAGTGATGCTCAAATGATCTATTGGACAAATCAATGTAATATATGATAGGTACAGATAAACTTTTATTCATTTTCAGAGTAATGAGATTGGTTCCAGCAGAGAAGGACCAGGGAAGCCTTAGAATTATAATTTGGTGCTAAAAGAAAAAGTAGTAATTATTTCATGCAGTTACTTAACAGATGAGGAAACCAAGGTCGAAAGAGATTTCAACCTGTTCAAGTTGAGACTGGATTGCGATAAGCCTTAAGTGAAAGGTCCAAGAACCTGTAGGTGATAGTAAGTGGAAATGGCCCAACACGAGTTGTTGTTAGAAACCCCAGTTGCAGGAAATACAGCAAAGAAATGTAGCACACAAGGATCTAAAAGCACCTTGTGAATTTAATAATTAGGACTTTAGAGCAGAGGCCAAAGTTAAACTTTGACGGGTAAGGGGAGTGAATGGGAGAGGCAAAGGTGGTGAAAAGATGGTGACAGAATAAAGACTGCAGAGGGAATAAGAGGGAATAAGAGGGATTTTGGAGGAATGAGTCCATGGTCCAGGAGAGGAGCTAATCATGTGGGCTAATCCCTGTCTTCTGCCTCTCTCTTCAATACTCTGCTCAACTCTCAGGGCAACCATGACTCACTCTCACCATTCTGACCTCCCTGGGCCTGGACACCAAGAAGGCTGCTGTATTCCCAGTACCTGTCTTACATTGCTGCCGCTGAGGACAAACATTCAGGTCTTTTTAAGGGTTATATGCAAATCTGTGGAGAGGCAAAACCAGAGCAACCAGTATGTCAGAGCAATTTTTAAGGTGATTGATTTTACACAGTTCTTAAGTTTCTTGCCTAAGCACCACATTTCCTGACTTCATAAGATGGCAACTGGAATTCAAGTTGCATTTCTGCCTTCTGCTTTTGTTTCTGTTTAAGGAGACATCAAAATCCATCTCAATGGGCTTTCCTCTATAAAGACACTTCTTCCCAGCAGGACAGTAAGTGTCCCATGAACTCAACTTATATGTGTTTTTTGGAATACAAATGCACACACTCTAAATATTAGCAAATTGGATCTAGCAAAATATACAAGATACAATGTGACCAAATGGAAAGGTTGAATTTTTTTTAACTTCTTTTATCAGTATTTAAGTATAAATATCATTCTGTCTTTATAAAAGAATTGGGGAGCTTTCCATATCTTTATATGGCTCAGAATAATTAAACACCAACATTACCTGCTCTTCACTGATTAGATAAAACTCAGACATGAACATCTAATTTTAGTGCTTTGTTAATGGTAGGTCTTTGACCATCATTTTACTATCTGTAATGGCAATTGGTCTATGCAAATAGTCTACTTTTTATGTTTGCCTAATTTCATGTTTGCTAGGAAATTAATGCTTTCTCTAGGCATCAGATGTATTACCATGAAGTTACCAGGTATATCTTTTATTGTATATTTAGTCTGTCCTGTATTTGTGGTAATTTCACTTTTCTCATTCCTAACTCTGTGTATTTTTCCGCTTTCTCTCTTTTTCTGCTCTTTAATCATCTTCTCAAAGTTTATCTTAAAGTTTTTGGATCTGTTGATGCATTCTTACTTTTTATCTTGTACTTTATTATTTCTTCCTGATTTTCCTAATTCCTTTAGATGAGTACTTGGTACATTTTTATATTATTTTAGGAAGGAGGTATTTAAGGCTATGAATTTTCCTCTAAATGTAGCTTTCTTGTTCCATAGATTTTGTTATTAAGCTTTCTTCGCTCTTTGCTAGAATTTTGTGTTTTGGTTTCTTTTATCCAAGAGGAATCACCTTGGGGGCATTTTTCTAGTAATTAGTTCTCTATTACTGCCTTGAAGGGATTTATTTTTAATATTCCTCTGAAATAGCTAATCAAAATATCAAAGATGTTCAACTACTACCCCCAAATACAGTAGACCCTGACACCTCATATCCATGGACTACTTCTAAGTAAACTTTTGATCCCTGTTTCCAGCATTTTAAAAAAATTACATCTTGCTTCAGTGTAAACCTTCGGGGTGGCGTTAAAATATCTAAACCATGCTTAAGTCTCTTCCACTGTTTCTGTTATTCTTACTCTCCTGCTCATGGCCATGCTCCTCACCACGCAAAACCAGGTTCCCATCACAGATTTGTCTTCTGCTCTGCAGTCATGATAGCTCAGGCTGTACCAGGAATTGAAATGTAAAAGAAGGTGGTGGGGGCTAGACAAGGGCTTGAAGGAACTCGTCTTGAAGTTCTGGCTTTTGAGGGTCAAGAATGGCTGAGGTTAAGTGGGCATTGGCTGGAATGAGAACATCCAGGCAGAGGTGAATTAGCTCTCTATCAGGAATGCCTGGAGTGCTCAGGGGATGAAGACCTGCAGGTCTTCATCTTCATAATTTTGTCTCCTTCACTGTGAGTCTCCAGCAGGAGCAAAGGGCAGAACGGAAGCAGGTTTTATTCCCCTCTTTCTCCAGTTTTTGTTTTGACCAGTTTGTCTCTTGTTTTGATCAATTCAAGTCCATTTCATAGTCCCTTCGATCCTCAGCCTTGAATCATGTGTGTGACCAATCTTAGGAAGAAAACCTCTGGAATCAAACTCCTCAAGTGACCATCATCATTAGGCAAGCAAACTTCAAGTGGATCTCTTTTTGTCCAGGGGAGGGACAGTAGGTTTTGATTTTAGAGAATATGTAATATGTTCCTGAAGTCTGGTGGCTCTTGGCTTCTGTGCATATGGCTGTCAGACCTGATGCGCCTCCCCCAAACAGGCTCCCCACGCGAGCTTTGCTGCCTCCTTTCTGAGTCTGGGTACAGCTCGCAGGCCCATAGGCCACCCCCTGGTGCCTCTCAGTTTCTTCACACTCCCTCAGGTTACCCAGTCTCTTCAGTGGAAGCATGTCCTTCCAAAGTCAGGGCACTTTCAGCTGCTTTTCTGATAGTTTTCTGGGGCACAGTACTACAGAATCTGGACTCCTCTTGAAATAACAGAAGGGAAGATGCTGGGAGAAAATATGAATTAACATCTGAATGATAATCTGCCCTGTAAATCAAAGATAACCTCCTTCACATCCAGTATAAATTAGTTTCATTTGCTCTCTCATTCCTGTAAGTGTATTGAAATGTGAAGTGAAAGTGTTAGTCACTCAATCATGTCCGACCCTTTGCAAATCCATGGACTGTAGCCCATCAGGCTCCTCTGTCCATGGGATTCTCCAGGTATGAATGCTAGAGTGGGTTGCCATTCCCTTCTCCAGCGGATCTTCCCAACCCAGGGATTGAACCCAGGTCTCCTGCATTGCAGGGAGATTCTCTGTCATCTGAACTACCAGGAAAGCCCATATTGAAATGTAGTGAAGACCTACTGTGTGCCAGGGGTAGAATCATGCTCTCCCCACTGCACCTTGAACTGCAGCTTTGATCACCGTGCATTATTTGTACATTTACTTGCCTGTTTCATGCAAAGGAAACTTAAGTTTTACATTATACAGAACCTTGGGATCCGGAACTGGCGATTCTGTATTCTAGAATATAAAAGCTCAATAAATGTGGGCAGGAAGGTAGGACAGACAAGGCAGAGGAGAGAATGATGCTAAATCAGAAGTGAGTACCCTTTTATAGAAGTCCAGGGAAAATATTATTAAAAGGAAA